CCTTAGAAGTGACATAGGTAAGGACAGATAAGACCCATCACAAGTTGCCCTGTATTCCCAGAGTGGGGACAATAACTCAGTTAACTGGGCATTCCAATCTTCCTTCCTTATCTCAGCATCCCAGTGAACAGTCACAGTGATTAGTCACAGTGATTAGTCACAGCAGCAATGGCCTATAAACCTTTACAGGAGGGGCCTCTTCACCTGCACTGCTGAGCAGAGAGAGAGAGACCCCCAAGCACCTGATGGAGCCGAGTGTTGGCCCTGTGTCCCCAAGTGTGATCCTGTGTCCTGGGGTGGCCCCTCCTGTGCTTCACCCAGTCCATACAGCCACACCCTCGGGCACAGCCCCTGCCCTGCTCCCCCCTGTCCTGGGGGTGTGTGTGGCCAGGTGGAGTTTTCCTCCCTGTGTTGAGTTGTGCCTGGGGAACATTTCTCACCTGGGGACTCTGAGCTGTGGGGGCTGTGACAGCCAGGGACTGGGCACTGCCACCATCCCCCGGTCTCTGGCTCGGGATCAGCTCAGATGCACGTCAGGGGGTTCAAAAAGCTTCAACAGAAAGTGTGGGGTTATGAGATAATTTTTTTCTAATTTATATTTTTAGTGCTAAATCTCTGTTGTAGCAATATAGTCACAGCTACAAGGTGCTCTTAAGGTGGAGCTGGTGCAGAGCTGGGAATTCAAGGACAGGGATCTTTGCCCTGACATTTGAAACGCCCTAAAAACCTGGCACATAAGCGAGACCCCTGAGCACAGATCCTGCTCCCTGTGCCCCTGTGCTGAGACCTGACTGTGCTGGATCTTCAGGTGGGGATGGCTGAAGGAACCGAGTGAGTTTGGTGTTCCCTACCCCAGGGAACCAGCCTGGAGTTGTACCCAAATGAGCTGAAGGGGCTGTGCTTTTTCTGCTGTGTATTTCCTGTTGTTCTTTAATAACACTATTCCTGGAACTGGGCTGTGATACCAAGCAACAACAACCTGAGCTGTCACAGGGCTGGGAGTCAGTGCCCTTTGGGATCTTTACTGTTTCCCAGCAGAGTTCAGGCATATTTTCATTTCCAGCTCCTTTACTCAGCTGAAACCCCTCCCTTTGCTTCTGCAGAGCTGTGATGCTTCTGCATCAGCAGCTTTCTGAAAAGAAAAGAAAAGCCTGAGTAGCAGGCTTTGGACATGGGCCTGGTAATGTGGAGAAGGACAGGTTATGTCCAGCAATGCCCCTAAATTCTGAGATGTTTAAGTTACTTTTGTCCAAATGAGAAAAAAAATGAAGCAACATTATCAAAATAACGAGGGGGAATCCCAAATCACTGAAGTGTGATCGATCAGCTGACAAACCTTATGAAGATAAAACACTCTGTTGACTGTGCCTCTGCTCTCAGCTGCATTCAGAGGGAGCTGACAGTGTCCCACTCCTTTCATAGACCAAACCCAAGGGCAGGGCAGTGTGGCCGAGTCCGTCTGTGCTGCTCCAGCCGGGCTGAGTCTGCACTGCCCACGTGTGTCCGAGCACTCAGGCCCCTCTTTGCCCATCCCATCTCAGTGGGAAGCTGAAGGCACAGCAGGTGCATAAGGAGCTGGAAATGTTGGCCCCAAGAGAGGCCCAGGGTTAGAAGGCTCAACCTGAGACAGACCAGTTTGGGGCCAAAACATGAGAGTTTTGAAAGCAAAGACTGTAAGCTCTGAGGTCTCGATGGGCCTTGGAGCAGCTCCTTGGAAAAGTGAGAAGGAAGTTACCCCAGCACTCTCCCCAGCTTTCAAGGTGGTTCCTGGCTGCTGCTGCCCAGGCAGGAGTCTCTCTGCCACCTCCTCTGCCTCTGTTACTGGATCCCTCTGAGGCTCTGCTGCTTCATGTGTGACAACCAGGCCTCGAGTACATGAATGTTTCTGGGGTTAAAGATGTGATTGAATAAAAACAGATGTTTCTGGAAAAGCAGGTTTTTTTCTCTTGTTTGTTTTTTTGTTGTTGTTGCTGTTGTTCTCTGGCTGAGTTTCTAAACCCAGGAAATGGCACTTGGCAGATGCTGTGTGAGGGAAATGGTGTGTGGTGAACCTGTGATGCAGGTGAGGGACATACAGGCACCAGGCACCTCTGAATGGCAGCAGCCAGGGAAATGATGAACAAAGCTCCAGAAGGGGCAAGAGGCCCAGATGCAGCTAAAAGGGAAATAAAAAATCCTGATGCCATCTGAGGACCACAAATCCAGTGACGGGGATAGTACAGGGATAGCACAGGGAGATTCAGGTTCTGAGAGTATCTAAGGCTTAGTGAGCATGGACTGGGGTGCTAAGGAACTTAGAGTGTATTAGGGATTGTGCCTCTTCCTGGGAGGAAGGCTAATCCCTGAGCACCCTCCTGGACACAGAAACAGAGCCCTGAGGAAATTCACGGGAGAGTAAAGGCCTGGTAATCCCTCTGGGGAAAACAAGAGTGGCTCCAAAATACAGCACATCCCAGGAGGGCAGAAGGCAATGGATTCTGACAAGCCACTTCCTCTCTCACGGGCCTGTTTGACTGAATTGCCAGAGGGAACAGCTCTGGCTTGAACTCCCAGCTGACATTTTCCCCTTATCTCTAATGCTGACAGTCACCTGCGTGTTCATGTTCTGGTAAATGTGGTAACTGCAGCCCCTCAGAGCAGAGGCAAACAGGCTGGACAGCTCTGTCATTTGAGGTATTTTCCTTCAGCCCTGGGATCTCTCAGCCTCCATTCCTCAGTCCTCGCTCCCCATGTGGGGACATTCTGCCAGTGCCTCCACCACAGCAGGGTGGGACACGCCATGTGTGTGACATCTCAGCAGTGTGACAGATGACAGAAATCACTTTTAGTGCCTTATCACCCACTGCACAGCCACTGGCCTGGCCACTGCTCTGCCTTTTGGCATCGCTGGTGCCCGGAGTACCCGGTGGCCAGAAAGATAGTCTTTATTCCTTACCCTGGAATCATGTGGGCACTGTCCTGGCTGTAAATCAGTGTCGTAGGGTACAAAGCCCAACTCCTTGGAGAAGCCCAGCTAGGATGGATTACTTTTACCTATTGCCTTCCTCCCTCTGCCTTACACAGGGTGTGTGATGGACAGAGCCGGAGCAGGAGCTGTGCAGGTGGAGTTTTGCTCTGCCCTGGGTATGAGGTGAAATCACACATCCCCCAGTCCTGCTGGGCCCTGCTCTGTCCCTGTCCCCTCCTCACCTGACTGTCCCTGGGGCTGTCCCAGCAGACCCCGGCGTTGCCAGCCCCCAGTGCCACGGCTGGTTCGGATGTGCCGTGCCTGCCACGGTCCCGTTGCGGCTCCGCAGCCACTCCAGCCGCGCCGGGCTCCGGGAACTCGTGCCTGTGCCCCGCGGTGGCACTCTGCCATCACACCCTCCCAGCCCCGGGCCCTGCCGCCGTCACACCTGGGGTTCGTAATCGAGCGCTCCTTCCTGTGCCAAAACATGAGCGCTGAGCGGGATTCCCGGGAGCCTCTTAGTAACACGGGCGGGCACTGCCCGGGGGTTCCCCGGGGGTGTGAACACAGCGGAGCAGGGGATTAGCTCCAAAGCACCCTCCTGCCAGCCAAGTCTCACTGCCCAGCCCTTGACACTGCTTCTCAGCCGAGGAACAGAGCAGTTGACAGAAATGATAGAAGGCTCTCAAATCCTGACTGGCAGGGGAGGAGATGAATAATGGCTGGATTTATTGTTTTGTTCTAAAGGCAGACGGGCACGCAGCGAAACCAGCAGATGTCAGGTTCAATGCCCACAAAGGGAGGCGTTTTCTTTGCGCCAGGTGCAGCAAAACTGTGTGGGATTCATTATTTCAGGATTTATGGGCTTTACACGGGCTCAAAAGCCAACCAGACAAGACCACGAAAGAGAAATCCATTGAGATCTCCGAGCACAAAGGCACATTGTTGGCTCTGGCCGTGCCTGAGCCATGAGTCACCGGAGGCGGGGAAATGTCTCTGCCCGCTTGCCTGGTCTTTATCCTCAGCCCCAGGCAGCAAGGGCTCGGGGCGGGTGGTGCATCAGGGACCTGTCGCTTCGGGGAGCACAGCAGGTCATGTGTGAACCTCACATCACCCGGGTGTTATTTAAGGTGAAAGACGAAGAGCTGCCTCCTTCCCCTGGGCTCTGCTTCGCAGCAGAGCAGCTCCTCGGGGCACACAGCACAGCTGGGCACCGCGGCACGTGGGCAGCTTTGGCAATAAAAAAAATAAATCTATTTTTCGTACTATAATTCCCACGTAGCGTTTGAAGAAGGTGCAATTGCTCTGTTGTGGCTTGGGAGTGCAAAGGTAGGAGCCTTATCAGGAGTACACGGAGCTGCTTCCCGTAAACACACCTGTGTTTTGGGCAGCCCGGCTGCAGTGGGTGCATCACCCCCACCGGGCATGCCGGGGTGCGGCTCCACAGCTCCCAGCCAGGCCAGAACCTCCCCAAATCCTGGCCAAAGATTATTTATGTCACCGTGTGCCATGTCCCTCGTGCCTCCCAGGGTGAGGATTTCAGCCTCTGCCGCTGTGGGAGGTGTGGGAAGTCCTGCACTGACCTGTGATCGTTTCCTGATCGCTCAGAATTCCCAAAGACACCTGCAGGTGGCTGATAACGGGCACTGACTGGAAATAACTCTGCGGCGGCACTTTTGTACTCAACAAGTGGCTGTTGATGAGTCACAGAATAGCCGGGGTTGGAAGGGACCTCTGGAGATCATCCAGTCCAACTCCCTGCCAAGGCAGGGTCACCCAGAGCAAGTGACACAGGGACACGTCCAGGTGGGTTTGGAATGTCTCCAAGAGAAGGAGACTCCACGACCTCCCCGGGCAGCCTGAAGAGCGAAGCCGGTGGGAAAATTGCTTTCCCTGCTTTACTGCCACGTGCCGTGGGAAGTCCCACTTGTCTCCATCGGAGCTCTCCCTAAAGCACTCCTCTGACGGGATGGGTGGGATGGACACTGCTCTGGCACCCGGGGCTCGTTCCCTGCCCATCACGGCCGCTCCTGCCCAGGCACCTGCCCGGACTATGGCCAAGACCCTACGAGTGACCCCCAAGGGCGATTTTCTCTCCTGTCCTGGGCTGGTGCCCCGCGGGCCAGTCCGGGATGGGGGGAAAGGGCAGGTGTGGGTGTTCAGGGTTCTTTGTGTCGGTCACCGTGGCCCGCGTGAGGCCGAGACCCCGCGGGCCGGGGGCTCCGTGTGCGAGGGGAGGGCGGTGCGGGCAGCGGGCCCGGCCGGTCCCAGCCCCGGGGATGCTCCCCCGGGCGAGTCACACCCCGAGCCGGGGCCGGGCGGGGCGGAGCGCTCAGAGCGGCCGGGATGGGGCAGCCCCCGCCCCGCCCGGCCCGGGGGCGGTGCCGCGGGGCCGGCCCGGC